ACACACACACACACACACAACCTCTCCCCAGTATGCGTTCTTGCAATTCGCATATGTGCAAAAATGCATAAAAAGTCAAAGCAGCAGCAAGCTCGCACAGCAAACATCTAAGTATTACATGCGTTTAAATAAATCTGTGGGAAATTCTCCACCAAATCCATTAAATTTCGCAGCTAAAAACATAGCGAGAAGGATCAGTATAAATGTGAAAGAACTGGGACTAAATCATAATCTTCAAATACCTGAGCGCTGGGGGAGGAATGGGGCATGGGAGAAAAGAGGGGGTACGCCATTGGACCACGCACTTCTTACAGTGAAAATTTGGTACGACCTGGCAGTGACCAAACAAGAACCCATGAATAGGATGACTGAAGTCATTTCACACTGCAATTTTTGCAAAAAATGAGCGATATAAAAATAAGAAAGTTATATGATCACCTTTTGATGGCTCGCCCAGTGGCACATGACGGTTATTTTGCGAGTCTGCAACTGATACATCGTTCTTTCTGCGCGTTATACGCAAAAGTATGCGCGATGGGCCACCAGACTGAGGCGAAGCATCCTCCACCCGATAACAGTCCACTCCGGAGCAACTTGGCAAGACACCGTTGACCTCAAACAAAATAATCTTAACCAAAATATTTTTCACAGCGTAATTACATTATAAAACTATTTTGTTATCCTTTTACCGTACATTACAATGAATCCCCACCATATGCGCATTTTGCCAAAAACTTATAAAAAATGAACTCGCATTCTTTAAGCGCAGCTAGATATTAAAAAAACCCCCGACCACTAACCTCTTCGTTCCATGAATCCGACATACGATGTTTCCTTTTTCTTTTCTTTCTCACTCTATTCTTCTTGTCGCTATTCTTGTTTACGCAGTTTTTAAATGCGACATTGGCCAGCGCAATCTTAATACGAATTGGCGGTCTTTTCTCCATTTCCTCAGCCTGAAAATTTTTACAGCTCCAAAAAGCTTCATTACAATAAACAGATGCTTTCTAACAAATGAATTTTTAATGATATCTTTTACCAGCTGATTTCTCATCCGTTAATAAAGCAGCAAATTTCATAGTAAGCACTCGCCTCTACAGAAATGCGATCCGAATTCCGCGACACACTATCGCCACCCATTACTTCGATCTCGGTAAATTTGCTTTTCTTTGGGACACAATTCTCAATGCCTTCGTTTTCCGTGGCAGGGACAGGTGAAATAATTTTCTCAGACGATTCCGCACACACCAAGGAAATGAATTCGCCCAAATCATCCGTTGCTCTGAGTGCTGGTTCAAGCTGGTCAAGTTGCGCGTTCTTCTGAAGGCCAACAGTGGCGGGCAAGGATAAATTCTCTGCTGATTCTTCCACTGTACTTTGCATTCGAGAAGTGCAGGAAGCAACTGCCGGGGATAATTCAGTCAACGTGCTCAGAGCTCGCAAATCGTTTGCAACATGATTTTCCTGAAATATGCATCAAATAGGGCAAGATTTCGAGGGCGTTCGGAACAATAAAAAAAAACATCAGTTTTTAAAGGTATATCCAAATTTTGCTAAGACCAATTAATGAAGCCAAAAAAATCACTCGGCTTCATTAATTCAGGGTCCAATTTGACTCTTAAATGCCCTTAAACTTTCCTGTCTGTGTAGATTCTCTTACACCACGGTTTCTCATATGCCAAATTGGACGCAACTGATTCTTTTCCGTAAAGCCGATGTTGTTCCCTGCCGATTCCCAATTGGCATTTGGTGGTGTTCAGCTGAATGCTCTAACACATATTTGTCGTTGAAGTGGAATTAGGAACAACGCAAGGGAGGAAATACCCCAAGCAACACAGCACACTCCAGAATAAAAAAAAAATCAAGAAAGATGTAAGGCAAACTTTCATTTACCTAAACTCATCATTTTTCTGAAAAAAGTGTCTCGTGAACTAAACTGGGACGGTGGTCTGAACTTCGGCGACTAACTTTCATAAGCGAAAGTATTCACAATAAGAACGGGACACTGCAAAGAACGATAGAACTAGTGATGCGGATTCACACGTCACTAGATGCACTTAGATCAAAAAGACTTTAAAACCAAGACGGTTACCACCAACGCCAAGAAATGGACACTGTAAAACAGCGCTAATCCTGCAGTATCACTTATGTCCTTCGCGTCGATCCGGCAAGGCTGTTTCGCCCTACTTAATAGTACCGTTAACAGGTTACCGATAATACTGCGGAAGCAACCGTGGTAAGTGAAAAAAATGAGCCAGTCAGTGATCCCAAAGGAAGGCAATAAAGCAAGCAACGCTTAGAGAACATCAAGGCCGAGCAAATAATCAAACGGTACAAGTGGCCTTCGCTGGAAGAAAGACAAACACTCGGAAGTACTCCAAAACCCAGGCTGGAACGCATCAGGCGGACCGGTGCGATTATGCATTTTTGCACTTTTCGTGCCATGGCAAGATCGCAAGGAGACACAGTTGTTAACCCTGTGATATACTGGCCCTCAAAGTTTGGGAAGTTAATTGTGCAGCTATGTGGTATATCAGTTGTGGATGCCGATTTCAGTGACCCACAAACGGAAAGCTGTTGGTCCACGACAAAGGCCGCACTAGAAGCGTTAAATTTGGCATTTCCTCAAAATTAAAGTCTTCAGCTTTCCGCGTTCCTGAGCAAGCAGTTTCCCCACTATAATTTTCACGCGTCCGCACATGAGTACCAGACGGTTTTAAGGAGCTGAATATGAAATCTTTTGGTCGTACATGGGTAGGAAACATTCCTCTAAAGTTCCAGCTTTCCAGCTTTTTCCATTCCTGGGCTAGTGATTTTCGCGGCAAAATTTCCTTGCGCCCGTACGTGGGCCCCTGGTGCTTTTAAACACCTAATTTTGGTCGTACATGAGGAAAACATTCCCCTGAAGTTTCAACTTTCTAACTTTTCCCGTTCCCGGGTTAGTGATTTTCGCGCCAAAATACCTACGTGCTCGTACGTGAGCCCTGGACGGTCCTAAGGAGCTGAGTTTGAAAACTCTTGGTCATACATGAGTAGCGAACATTCCTCCAAAGTTTCAACATTCCGGCTTTTCCCATTCCCGAGTTGTGAATTTTCCCACCATAATTTTCACATGCCCGTACGTAAGCCCCAGGCAGTCCTGGGCAGCTGAATTTGAAATCTTTTTGCCACACGCGGGTAGTGGACATTCCCCTAAAGTTTCAGCTCTCCAGCTTTTCTCGCTCCCTAGTTATCAGTTTTCGCGCCAAAACTTTCACGTGCTCGTACGCTGGGCCCAGACGTGCGTGAGAGTTGATACCGCGGTCCTGAGATGGCACTTGGCTGGGAAACACACTAGCAAAATTTCAGCTTCAACGCTTGCGTGGTTAGCGAGTTGAAACATCCGACAGACGAACACACACACAAACATACACATACATGTACGT